CCCCTTCCCTTCCCCCCTTTTCCTCCCCTTCCCTTCCCCCTTTTCCTCCCCTTCCCTTCCCCCTTTTCCTCCTCTTCCCTTCCCCCTTTTCTTCCCCTCTCCTTCCCCCATTTTCTCCCCCCCCCCCCATCCTTTTCTCCAGTACCTGCCGGTTGCCAGCATCCTCCTCCCTCTCCGCTGACCCATTCTTGCGAACTTCCCTCGTGCCATTTGTCCAACCCGTGATATCCTGTTCTCTTTCGCTCTCTGTCTCTCTCCGCTCTTTTTTTTTCTCTTTTCTGTCTTGATTCTCTCTCTCTCTCTCTCTCTCTCATTTTTTGTTATTTTATTATACTGTCGGTTTCTGTTTGGTTTCTTAATCTTTTTATCCTGCTCTTCTTTCTTTCTTTTACCCTTTTCATTTTTTCACGCTTTTTTCTCACTTTTTCTGTCTGTTTTTCTTTCATTTTCTTATTTCTTCCCTCTCTACCACTTCCCTTTTTGTATCTCCTCTCCCTAATCTAATTTTCTCCATCCCCCTCTCCCTTCCTTCCCCCCTCTCCTTTCCTCCTCCCTCTCTCCCTTCCTCCCTCCTTTCTTCCCCCCATCTCCCTCGTTCCTTTCTTTCCCCTTCTCCTTCCTTCCTTTCTTCCCCCTCTCCCCCCCTCCCCTTCCTCCCATTCCCTTCGAAATTCGCCCTTTTTCCGCCCGATTGCCGTTTGCTGCATTTACAGTGGTGCAGAGTCATCAATGTTATCAGCGGCTCTGGGCATTTTCCTCTCGTGTGTGTGTGTGTGTGAATGAGTGTGTGTGTGTGTGTGTGTGTGTGTGTGTGTGTGTGTGTGTGTGTGTGAGTGACTGTGTGTGTGTGTGTACGTGCGTGTGCGTGTGTGTGGTCTTGCTTTCTTGTTTCTTGTGGTCTTTGGGCGCTTGCTTGCGTGGTCGCGTGCTCTAGCTCAGTTCGCTTGCGATCTTGACACGATATGTATCTCTACCTGATCCTTTGCTTCCTGTCATTGTTTCCCCCCCCCCCCCGACCCCGCCCTCTCTCTGTTTCTGTCTTTCTTTCTTTTCTCTCCACTCCCCTCTCCTCCCCTCTCCCTCTCTCCTTTCCTCCCGCGTCTCCTCTCTTTCCTCTTCCCTCTCTCTCTTCCTCTCTACACTCCTAACCTACCTCTTCTCTCTCTCTCTCTCTCTCTCTCTCTCTCCTCTCCCTCTCTCTCTCTCTCTCTCTCTCTCTCTCTCTCTCTCTCTCTCTCTCTCTCTCTCTCTCTCTCTCTCTCTCACGTATATATTCCCCTAGTAATTTGTATTTCGCCCCCGTTTATCTCTCTGTGCCTCTTTCTTCTCCGTTCCCTCGTCCGCTTCGTGTAGAATAATTCCAATAATTGTTTTACGCACGCCCGCTTCTGAAAGGATGATTATCGGGCTTGATTTTTGAAGCATCGATTATCCGCAAGTTTGGGGGGGAGGGGGGGAGGGGGGGTGGAAGGAAGGTGGAGGTGGAGGGGATGGAGGGAAGGTGGAGGGGATGGAAGGATGGTGTGGATGGGAGGGAGGAAAGAGAGGGAATGGAGGAAGGGGGGCTGGGGAAGCTTAGGGGGGGGCGGGCTGGGGGACGGGAAAGGGCGGGAGAGGGTTACAGGGCACTAGTGGCACTTATGGCACTCATGGCACCGAACGAGCCTTGTTAGACCGAGGCCGCGTTCGGTTCTCTCGGTCGGGAATCGGGTTCGCGGAATTTGGCGGTGGGCGCTTGTCCGAATGGCCGGAAGGCAGCTTGGTTACGGCGCGTTTGGTCTTCCGTCCGGCATTTCGGATTTATTTGGGCGATCGGTTATTCACTTCCGAATAATTCTTGCAACTCCTCTTCCTCGCATCTCATTGGGGGGGGGGGAGGCTACGCGCGGGGGGGGGGCATAGCCGCGAGCCCATAGCAAAGGAGTTGATGTGAAAATGAGAGAGGGGGGAATGGAATAAAGGAGAAAAGAGAAGAAGGGAGAAAAGAAAAGAAGAGAGAAAACAAGAGAGAGAGAGAAGAGAACGGAATCTCCTGGCCAGTAATCGGATCAAACGGGCGAGAATTTCATTGTTATCGACCGAGTCCAGATAAGATCTGATTGCAGGAGGAGGCCTAGGTGCTCCTCCTTTCTGCCCTTCCTCCCTGCCTTTCTTTCCTTCCTTTCTCTCCTCCTTCCTTCCTTTCTTTTCTCCATCCTTCCTTTCCCTCTTTCTTTCTTTCTTTCTTTACTCCTTCCTTCCTTCCTCTCTTTCTTTTCTCCTTTCTTCCCCCCTTTCTCCCTTCCTTCTTTCCTCCTTCTCTTCCTTCTTTCCATCCATCCACCATTCCATCATTCCACTGATAATTTTAGATAGATATTTGTTTCTGTCTTCCTTTCCCTCCCTTTCTTCTCCCATAACGATAACGAATAAGGTACCGGAGAGGGGGTGGGAGGGGAAGGAGGAGTCAAGTGATACCCCCACTTCCCCAACCCCTACCCCTACCCCTCTTCCCCCAGCCCCTACCCCCCAATCCCCATCCTGTCAGCACGACCTGGCGGTTCATTTCTTGATTCTCTCTCTCTCTCTCTCTCTCTCTC